ACTACTTAAACGAAAGGTTCCCAGACAGATGGATCGGACGAAACGGACCGATACGATGGCCTCCACGCTCCCCTGACCTCAACCCCATTGATTTTTTGTTTGGGGATATTTTAAAGACATAACATTCGCCCAAGAATGTGCAAAAGAAAATTCATTGAGGAACAAAATTCAAGAAGCGACACATGTGTTGAAAAACAACACACAAGCATTTAGAGATTTAAAACAAAATTTCATACGTAGGTGTACACTGTGCATTTCTGTTAGAGGCAGACATTTTGAAAACCTCTTGTAAATAACATAAATGAATAATAATCTGCTGTTCAGTAAAAATCAAACGTGTTTTTGTGGTTTTTGCAATTTTTTTTCCGAAACTAACAATTTCTATTGAGCAGAGGGTTATCCAATTTTGGGTTCGGTTCTATTTGAGCCACAATTACGGTAGCATGTAGTAAAGCTAGGTTGATGAAATTTTTACGGTAAATAGCTGATACCGTAAGGAAGTTTTTAAGATACTTACGAATAGTAAGAACATGTTTTTTCAATTTTTTAGAAACGTTCAAAGTTGTTGCACTTTTTTACTTTTTTGTTATGTTCGAAGATTTTGAAAAAAATTAAAAAGTAGTATTAATTACATGACTTGAATGATTATATGATAGTTAAGCCTTAGGTCTTAGCTACATAATCGTGAAAAAAGCACGCATTTATCACAATTATTAACGAAGTTATGGTAAAAATAAACACAGAACTCAAAAATTCTCGAAAAATCCGAAAAAAAATCATAACTCCTAAACTAAACAAAATCGGACCATATATATGGGGGTGATTTGGGTTCCTCTCGATGTGGGGAATCTAATTTTTTTTTATGACGTCACGTGTTTGGCCACCCTGTATATATATATATTAATTAATTTACATTTTTGTCCTAAAACTTCAACACCTCGAGTTTTTCTAAGGAAACGTTTTTGGACCATAGTTTATAAAGCAAACTAACATTAATTTTTCATGTTGATTCAGACCCTTAAATATTCGCATATCATTAAGGAACACCCTGTATATAAATATGTATTATATATAAATATGTACTATATATAGATATGTATTATATATAAATATTTATTATATATAAATATATTATAACATCACCATCTTAAAAGATGGGAGTTGGCAGGCAGTCAAATTTTGTACATTGAGTCGCAACAACTAATCATCCAATCCAGTCCATCTGAATAACCGATATTATATGGGACATTCAGAGAGACCATTCCAAAAGAAGAAGAATGATGTAACATTCTATTACGTTTTGAGGATTAGTTTTTGAGTTATATTAGATTACACAGATTACAGTCTAGGGTTCTAGAATACTCATAAGAAGCTTCAAAATAAGGTATCACATGACCCTCCGTTCCATTTAAATAAATGTTACAAGGTGGCGCCCAACCATGTATATTTTGTGATGAGTAATAAAATATATGGATAGAAACGCACTTTACGTTAAAACAGGAAACTAAGTCTTTTGCTATGTTCCTGGTGAGACACGTGTTTATTTTTTATCAACTTTCCTTCTATATTTTTAATCAAAGTGCACCTCGAAAATAACAATACAAATAAGTATCTTCCCGCTGCAAAAGTCTACTTTCTCCATAAATGCACGTTGACGCTATTTTCAAGCTCGTAGCGGATACACAACGTTTTCTATTCCATTTTCTAGCATTTATCGGTTCAGGAAGTTTAAAAATATCCATAAAGCACTTCACAAGTTTAAGATATAACTACTCGTATATAAATTTCTTCAAAATTTCACAAAACAGATAGTTGCCAGTTTTTAATGTGCAAAATGACATTTCTAGATTGGTCTGTGACTCAAAAATTTTGAAAAAAAGGAAGAATCTTGAGAATAGAACTAAAATCCCTCGAAAACGCCGTCTAATTAATAGTATTTTTCACGTTATATCGGGTTTTCCAATAGGGACTTGACAACTTTGAACTTTCGCTTCAACGAACAAAAACGCTTACAAATAACTAAAATTTACTACCGAAATTCCGAGTCGGTGACTGCAACTTCAAGAGCGTTAACGCCAATTTTTGGTCGTAATTGTCATCCCATTAGACAAGCAATTCATAGTCTAGTAAAAAAATTTGAGTCCAGATATTCACTGATGGATTTTTCCGTGCCAGTGAGATAACGGGTTGGTCGAAGCGCCGAGAATATTGCTGCCATTTAAGCTTCCGTCGCAAATGAACAGAACACGTAGATTCCACGGCGGCCTCAAGAATTAGGCATCGCTCAGACCACACTATGGCGAATATTGCGAAGAGACCTTGGCCTGCACCCTTATACGATCAAGTTAACTCAAGAACTAAAGCCGTTCGATCGTACGAACCGACGTACTTTCTCGAATTGGGCTCTAGAAGTGTTGCAATGAAATGACCAATTTCATCGCAAAATCATCTTCAGTGATTAGGCGCATTTGTGGCTAAACACCTGCGTCAACAAACAGAATATGTGCTATTGGTCAGGTGTAAACCTCATGTGCTTCAAGAAACACCACTTCATCCACAAAAAACAACTGTATGGCGTACTTTCTAATTTTGTGTGGTGATTCACGAAAACGGAAGCGTAAATGTTGGGTCCGTCCAAGTTTGAAGAAAAGGGAAGAATATGGTGGACAGCAATTATTATCGGATTTAAAGAAAGATGACGTTTTATTAGAACTTCGAACGGATGGGTGCTTCAAAAATTTTGTGCGCATGAGTAGTTCTGATATGGAAAAGAGAACCTCAGAGTAATACGTTTACTCCATACAAAAAAGTTGCACGAAATGCATCAACTGAAGCAAAAGATATTAGGCAAGAGTTTACTGATTTTGTCGTTACACCTTTGGGGATGGTGCCGTGGCAGAATAATTTTTGACTTATAATTCATGTATAAATTGGAATTGCCTATTTATTAGTCAGAATAATCAATAATAGAAAACTTAATATGTGAAAACATGGTGTGTTTACTTACCACGTTCTCGGCTTTACCTTCCTTGCATGGGCGGACTTTGTTTTTGTCTCGAAGAAATAGTAATGCATTGTAGGCAAACCACTTGGAATGAAAGTGAGCACCTGCTCCAGATTTTTTCATTCTGCGATATTTTTTTCGCTCTCTATAAAACTGAACCACCATTTTTCTTTTTGCCTCTTCCTGAGATAAACACCCTACAGCTGAACAAACTGCATTCCATGCATAATTTTTTGATTCTCTGCATTTATATTTAACATTTTTAGGATTCCAAATACATGGATTTTGTCTATAATTGTCAATTAAATTTAAACAATTCTCCGAAGTCCACTTAAACGCCATCACGAAAACCTAAACATTCACGCAAAGGCATTATTTATAATAAAATACAAAACAGAACACTGAGACGCGGCGGTGTCTAGTCACTCAACTTGCAACAGGTCTCAACTCGCAACAATCCGTCCACATCGAAGCAATGTTGACAAATGTTTCACTTTGTTTCATATTATTCTTTGATCTTTACCGCTAAAAACGGATTTATGCAACATAGTACAATTTATATTGAATCGCAGCACCAACTTTATGCGACGCAACACAACATATTCCAACAAATATAAACATTTTATGTTATAACAAGTTTTTACTGTATTATGTTGGAAAATGTTGCTCAAGTATGGATGCGCCTTAACGTTACAGTCAACAGAGATCGTTACTGAGACATGTTGCGACGTTTTTCTTTGGTCAACTGGATGGGCTAGAAGTTAATGATACGTGATCTTAACAGGACGGTGCCATAAGCCACACAGCGGGACAAACAATCGAAATATTGAAAACAAAATTTGGTGAAGATGTTATATCGAGAGATGCTACTGTCGAATGGCCGCCTAGATCGTATGCTATAACATCTGTAGACTTTTTTTGGGGATACATTAAATCGTTGGTCTATGCCAACAACCCGACGTCGTAAGAGTAGCTCACAGCCAATATTAAGAGATAGCTGCCGTTTTTGTCGAAATGTGTGGCCGAGTCATAGAAAATTGGATTCAACGGATCGATCGCTGCGAACGTGCCCGTGGTGGACATACGTACGAGGTCGAATTCTATACATAAATCGTTTGAGTATACTTCAATCCAGTAATGAAATTTTCGAGATATCTTAAATGGTTTGCGTTTTATTTAAAAGGACAGTTGTCAAGTCGTTAACAAAATATCATAATCATGAAAGTCGGAAACTAATGGGGCCTCCGAACTTAAGTTCTATATACGTCACTGCTATATAAGAATTTATTCTATCTCTATCTGAGCTCTCCGAGCTCGCCAGGCCTCTGCTACCCATTCTAGGTCGGTTCTGCTCTATATATCCAGAAGTACTTACCTCAGCTTCGATACCAGAGTGTTGACAATATGGAACTATCTATCCGGAGGAAAGTTTTCCCATCATACTAAAGCCGACTTTAATCATATATGGACCTGCTTAAATCATTGAGCAGGTCCAGGATAATACGATCCCGATCTCCGGACCTAAACCCACTAAGTTCTTTCACATGGGCTCTTTCTTAATTTAGTTCACACAGCTTCAGTGGAAAGGCAGGAAATTGCAGAAGGGCTTGCGATCTACAAAAGAGGACCATTACACTCTACCCGAAAATGATAAATGATAATAATGTAAATGTGATTTTCAAATGAAACCGGTTTTTTCGGAAACGTTGTATGCATTATATCTTAAATTCATCGTGAACGGATAGAGTCAGCTGTAGCAGTATCTATAAATTTAAAATTTCTCCGGTAATAGAATGACTGATTAAACATAGGCTGAAAATTTGCGACAATGTTATCAACGATTTATACATATATTAGCTTTTTTTGGAGTGATAACTTGAGTATGAAGAAGCCATGTTAAGGTTGTTGGAGTATTTTATCGAAATGTTTGTTGAGAAGCGTTTACTTAAATGGTTACTCATGAAATACTTTCTTTACTTATGTTATTTCATTTTTCAGCTCGTGACGGAGACATATCATTCTCCCCGATCCTGGGTATCCTGATAGGCGCCACGCTTACCATCATCATCGTCATATTCCTTGTCATTGTCAGGATACGAAGGGCTCAGAGCCAATCAGCCGCTTCCAGTTTGGAACAAAAGGTGTCGGCGGACAGCCAGCAGCACCACCAGAACACAGTTTCGTCCACGAAGCCTCTGCTAAGGAGTGCTTCTCCGAGGGAGATTGACAACGAGAGGGATCCGGATGTTATTCCAGCTAAATATGGTAAGGACACCAGTTTCCGCACCAAAACGTCGCAACAAATAACAGCTGGGAAAACAAAAAGGAGGACAAGGAAACGTAATCCAAGCTATAGTGTAATAATGGAAAGTTGGAGCTCTAAAATACTCACTGGCTTTCGTTGAGAAGAGATACATTGCTTCCTATCCCAGTGTATCATACACAGTTATTTCGCTTATATCTCATGGGCTAACCCGATTCTAAATTTTTTATCCTTTATACTACCGATTTGCAAAACTTGTCGGTAGGTGAAAGATCTGCAATGACCTTTAGATATAGAGAAAGGGAGCATTCAAATAAAATAATATCACTAAAAGGAGAAAGCACTCGTTGAAATAAATATTTTTCGTATCGGAGACATCGCGTGATTTCTAATATGTCACTGTTTGCTAAGATTAGAGTTAAACCAATTTTAGAACGAGACGAAATACACACATACTAGTCAGCCAAAATTATGGAAATATACAGGGTTATCCAAATTAAGTGTCCACCATTAGTAACTTTGTTATTAGTGAAAATACAAAGTTGTTTGAATTAGCAAACTAGTAGCATTTTTAACGCTGGTAAAAATGAGAAATAAAAAAAAACAATTGAGAGTCGTTATTTTGATTTTTTTCAGTAAAATAACATTTTTTTAAATGGAAACCCCTGTATATTATATTTTTTTCTGTTAAAGCATCAAATTTTAAACAAAAAAGCTTACAATAACTTTTCTCCTAGGTTACAAATTGTTGAAGTTATGGCCTCCAATCTGAAACAATTAAATTGTATCGACAAACTTTATTTTCAACATCAACTTATAATCTTACAAAATACAATAACAATTTTTTTTAAAGAAGATGCTCGAAAACACCACCTTGTTCTTCAATACATTTTTGGGCACGTTTTTCAACTGCTCGAACTGTCTTAAGTATGGTGCTACCATGTATCTGGGTTATCTTTTCCCTAACTGCAGTCTTTAACGCGTCAAGGTAATCGTACCTTCGCTTGTAAATTTGGTTCTTTAAGTAACCCCACAAGAAGTAATCAAGTGGGTTTAGATCTGGTGATCTGGGAGGCCACTGTATTGGGCCATTTGTTCCTATCCACTGATCATTAAAAAATAGTAGTTAGAAAATGATAAGTACCTCTGGAGTTGTGGGCAGGTGCGCCATCTTGCTGAAAATGCAGATGATGTCTACTTATAAGATCCAATTCGTCTAAGAAATTAGTCAGAATTTCTGACATAAATTCCACATATCTTTCACCAGTTAGGGTTCCCTCATAAAAGAACGGGCCAACAATTTTTGAACCAATTATACCGCACCAAACGTTGAAACTGAAACGGACTTGTGGGCCTCTTGGATGTACTAACAAAAGATTTTCTCTTGACCAATAATGGTGGTTTTTTCTATTAAACATTCCAGAATTTGAAAAATTTGATTCATCTGTCCATAAAAGGTAACGAAAGTTATTTACATTTTGGCGACAGAAGCTAAGATACCAATGGCAAAAAACAAGTCTTCTCTCTGGATCCCCTGCCAAAAGCGTTTGAACTGGTCGGTACTTATACGGAATAAATTTGTATTTTTTTAAAATCCTTTGAACAGTACCATAACTGAAATTAGAGTCCTTGAGAATATCTGCTATTGAATTCTCACGATAAGCTTCAAAATATCCAATAACTGCAATTTCCGTGGCCTCGCTTATTATGAATTCTTTTTTTGCCCTTGTTTTAGCAAAAACATTTTCGTTGCCCCTAAATTTTCGATAAAGTCTCAGAAAATATCGTTCATACGGTTGAATGCGAGCGGGATATAATTCACTGTAGTATTCTCTTGCTCTCAAGGAGGATTTTCTGCACACTAAATAGCATTCTAACATATCACACTTTTCTTCATGGGAGAACATTTTTCTTTAAATTAATGACACAATAAAGCTTATAAACAAGTATTTACACTAATGTTTGACATTATTTGATTTTATCATTGTTTTCCAAAGCCTTCTAGTTGCGAGTATGTCCAGTTTAACCATTTGTCGCTTATCTTAATGCTGTCAAATCGCGAACGCCATGTTGTTTTCATAGCCGTCTTAATATTATAATACTGCAAATAATTAAAAATATTTATCGTTATTTTGACTTTATTTTTGACTTTAGCGGAAAAGTCATTATGAACTTTTTTGTTTAAAATTTGATGCTTTAACAGAAAAAAATATAATATACAGGGGTTTCCATTTAAAAAAATGTTATTTTACTGAAAAAAATCAAAATAACGACTCTCAATTGTTTTTTTTTATTTCTCATTTTTACCAGCGTTAAAAATGCTACTAGTTTGCTAATTTAAACAACTTTGTATTTTTACTAATAACAAAGTTACCAATGGTGGACACTTAATTTGGATAACCCTGTAGATGCCTGAAATGTAGAGTTGGACTACTCGACGCATACGCACTGGTAGATATCAAAAGAATCTGTTTACGCTGATTCCTGTACCCTCCGTTTGTAATTGTTATCCTGTTCCGTAATTCAAACACAAAAAAAAAACTAAGAAACATATGAAATGGTCTATGACTAGTCCTGTTAAATGTATAATTCAAGAACATAAGAGCTATATCAGCTACTCAGCGAACATGTGGTGAGGGATACTGAGAATATGATAAAATGGGAGGAAGTCTCAATATTGTACAAAGATGATACCACTTATAAAAGGAACGTAAAGGAATCAGCCTATGTAAGATTAAAGAACAGTTGAGTTCCTTTCTAGATTATGACCCAACTTGGTCGAGTATCTTGGAAGAAAAAATCCAACTGACGTTCTCGAAACCGCCTGGTAGACTATAAGTGTTTCACATCCAGGTTTTTCCTTGTGGCTTGTTATTGGAACTCAGCTGCGCAGATCTTATGATTTGTTACTGAAAATGCACAGATGTTTTGCTTCGCCATCTCAAGGCTAAGGTGTTGTGATTTCTATTATTTCCTCACAAAGCAAACAGCATTTCTCCCCTGAGGCGTCGAAGTACTACTTTTCGCGTGTCGAAGTCATGAACAATGCACACGCAGCATTAGTTGCCGAGGATTGTATAACAGTCTACCTAGTCTAATCACATTAGCAAATTTACCCGAAATAATTGTAAAGTCCGGTTTTATTGATGCAAGTTCAAGGGGGTATTTAAAACGTAGACGCATGAAATTTTTGTGGAAAACTTTTTATTCCACAACGAAGAATGAGAAAACCTTTTTTTTTGTGACTCAATCGAAAATGTTGGAGGAACAAAAAACTATTCAAATAATATTTTTAAGTATCTATCAGACATACAGTATGAGACCACACGTAAAAAAGTAATAATCTAATAGTACAGAAGTTTTGGCCGAAATCCGAGTCGAAATGCAGGCCTTGGCACTTGTTGCTAATGCGACGATAATTTCAGGCAGCCACTTGAAATTCTTCAAATCCGGAGGCTTCTTGCTTCTAAAAAAGCACAACAAAATTGAAGTCGACTGGTCAAGTAGTTTTTGAGATTTCTAATTGTTTATCTCAAAACACCTGTCTCCCGGCCATCACTACTAGTTTATTGAGCAATATTCAAAGGGCATATTATAGCAAAATACACGAATTTAACTTGTCAACATGAATCACAAGCCAGTCAGGAAGATAATTGTTATTTTTATGCGAAAAACGAACGATTACGTTTTTTTCTTCTGAACAAATTGAAACATTTCGTATTTGTAAGTAATTGAACAGATTCGCTAAGATATTCGAAAAACATAGGTTATTAAACACATTTTAAAACAAACCAGATGTGTCTATCACCTTTTGTTGCGAAGAAAACATGTTTTTTCAAGATTTCTTCATACTTCTGTTTGTACATATTTAGAGCTGAAATTTCTACACGGCCACAGATGAGTGCTAAAGTTTATAAAAAAATATTTCATTCTAAAATGCGCTGAACTGTTTATAAAGCACGCAAACTGAATACACAATTACGTTTCAAACTGTCTTAGACTATTTAGTGCAGTTCGCGTGTTAAGTTTCAGTATGAAATCTTTTTTTATAAGCTTTAATGCTCATCCGTGACCGTGTAAAATCAGGACTAATATTTATACACAAGAGTATGAAGAATCAAAAAAAAATTTCTTCGCTTTGTTTTAAAATGTGTACAGGTATAATAACATATGTTTTTCGAATAACGCAGCGATTCTGTTCAATTACTAACAAATACGAAATGTTTGAATGTGTTCGGAAGAAAAAAACGTAACCCTTCGTTTTTAGCATCAAAATAAGAATTATCTTTCGGAATGGCTTGCGATTCATGTCGGCAAGATAAACTCGTATATTTTGCTATAAAATACCCTTTGAACGAACCCTGTATGTTGTTCAATAAACCAGTAGTGATGGCCGGAAGACAGGTGTTTTGGGATAAACAGTTAAAAATTCTCAAAGACTACTTGACCAATCATAAAAACCCTTCAGATTTAAAGAATTTCAAGTAGCTGCGTGTAATTATTGTCGCATTAGCAACAAGTGCCAAAACCAGCATTTTGCCTCGTTTTTCGGCAATAGCTTTTTTACTATGAGTTGGAACTTTTTACGTGTTGTCTCATTCTGTAGGTCTCATAAATACCTAAAAATCTTATTTGAAGAGTTTTTTCGTTCCTGGCAACACTTTCGATTGAATCCCAAAAACCACGTTTTCTCATTCTTTGTTGCCGAATAAAAAATTTTCTCACAAAAATTGGTGAACCCATTTTATGCGTCCATGTTTTAAATACCCCCTTGAACAACTTGCTTCAGTAAACTTATTTCGCAAGCCAGGGGTATAGCAGCAACCTTGTGTTAAAACTTCATCTAAATCCGAGTGGTACTCCCAAGTTATAGACGGGCCAAGGATTAGCGGGCACAGACTGACAGACAGTCCGACGGACAGACCAACGGAAATGAGAGACATGTACTTTTCATATGATATTGCTCAGTGACTTGGGAAAAAAGTAATAATGGAGTTCTACCTCACAGGAACCTTCGTTTCAGGCTCACCTTCAGGCGATCCAAGCACTGAAAGGCCATCCATCTCCCTCAATGGTCCCCAGGTTCCTCCACCCATGGGTCTTCCACCGTACCCCCAAGTCAGTTGCGTACCCCCAGCCCAGTGGGTCAGTCCAGTGTCTGCTGCCCAAACCCTTCCACATCCAGATCAGGTAAAAACATGTTTTTTAGAATATGTTTACACACATGAAGAATTATTAATATGTGAATTTGAATGAAAAAAAATAGTTTGGTCCTTATTTTTCTTGAGTTGTTCTATCATCTCATCTTTACGAGGTTCTTATCAGTTTTTGCCGTATGAAGTATATTTGAAGCTATAGCCAACTATCAAAATAGAGGGGAGTAGCATAAATTGTCATACGCCTTTGCTAAGGCGTGTGTACGCGCACGTTTATCTCACCATGCTCAACGTCACACTCCGTTAAGAGTGACGTTACGATGCGTTACGCTAGGTGCTACCCTCTATAATTTTGATTCTTAACTATAATAAGACTATGTCAAACGGTATACGCAAAACTTTTCAACAAGTACGCGTTGGTATGCAACAAATTTTCCATGAAGCTTCTTTTCCCGTAATATTAGGAACTTTTTTGTAAGCCTTTGTACAATTTTTTTTTTTCGAACATATTTTCACTAACTCTATTCACTTCTTTCCGTAGTACCATCAATACAACAACCCCGTAGCAATGGCAGTTAGCGGTACCTTCCCCAGAGAGTCCCGGCCGAAAGACCTGAGGCTAGGCAACGGCAGTTCTACCCTGCAAAGGGTCACGGACGTCGAACTCAACGGCTTGGCCATCAAGGAAAGACTAATGGCCAGCAGACTACCAGAAAGTTGTGTCTAAAGAGATATTTGGTTTTTAGTTTGAGCAAAGTCGGTGTTGTTTTATTTTGCCGTCCAAATTGCAGTTTCGATGACGTAATGGTGATGGAAAAACAGTAACAGTGGATAAGTTGAGCCATAGTACAGAACTCCACAACACTGCATTTTGACCAACGCTAGATCGTATTGTGCGTCAAAATTTCTACTAAAATAAACAACAAAAAAGTCCTACTGAATCCTCCATATAAATGCCGGGACATCCGTTCAACCAACGAATTCGAATAGATTACGAGTCAAGCCTATATGTTTGCATCTCTAAGAGTGTGTAATTTTAGTGTTAATTTTGAAAAATTTGATTACCATTGCCTACCAAAGTGACAAACCAATGCTTCCGCGTACATTCTTCTCTCTGGAAAGAGTGTTCAAGTATTCAGAAATACTACTTACGTTGCGATGTCAATCGCTCAGTTATTTTTAGTAAACAGGGATAAATCAAATAAGGTAAAGAAATGAAAGTAAACAATACGAAACATTAGCTCAATAAAACATCAACAATAGCCGAGTACCTGATACTGGGAATAGTGGGACACCTTGCACAAATTCTCCTCGGTTTTTGTAAATAGATATGATATGGAAATTCCTGCTATTATTATTGTCACTATATTTATCCAATAAAATATTTGGAAGTATTTTAATTAATTTGATGTTTATACTTTTTTTGTCGTATCTACTGGGCTTCGTCCATAGAATCTCGTGCCACTAAAATCAGGTAGTAAAATTACTATTTATAACTCGAAAGTATCTTTTGGATTCAAAATTAAAGTTTAGTTTAAGCTCGGTTGACCCTTTTCAGCACATACAGCAAATTTGGTTTTTCTCGGTTATTTTGCATTTTTCAGTGATGTTGCCAGGTGTACAAATATGTTACCAAACAGATTGTGATAAAAAGTGAAATAAAATATATCAAAGATACCTCAAAACTGTCCAGGTAAAAGTCCAATGTTGAGGCACATGCCCTATCGCAACGCCGATCAACAAATCTGCTCTTATTTAGCTTAAATTGCCTTTTGCAATGCTTAGAAATATGTACCGTTGTCAGCAACTGTCTGGAACACTAGCATTTTTTGGAACCCACGCACTTTTTTATGTTTTCGCAAAAATTGAATATAACTGCCAAACGGCCGTTGGAGCCCGATCGACTTGCATCATAACTACCGACTACGTAATTTTGGTAACAAGCCAGGCAATTTGTTGCCTGCAGACGACTGCTCTTCTTATTTTTTTAGTCTTCATTACTTTGTCTGCATTTTGTCTCACCAGACTTGATAAACTTACAGACTTTACAGAGAGGACAGAATCGCCTAAAAAGCGCTTGATTTCTTAGCCAAAAATGTTGTCCTATCCTGGCAACGATTATTGCTATGCCCAGAATCTAGCACTTCCCTAGCGTGAAAAATCGTTAGGATTTCAAATAAGGTGGATTCGATATTTCTGCAAGATTATAACGAGCTTTTATTCCGTTTTCGACTTCCAATCGATAGTGTTGTTTTGTCGATAGCACCTACTCAAAAAGTTTCAAAAAGTCCTTTGATGGCATGGGTATTTGCTTTGGAACAAAAGATGTCTTCCGCTAAAATATCGTTCTTGTAGATTCTTGGATCTGTTTAAAGATCTGGTATTTCTCAGATTATCTTCAGTTTACTTGGATCTTTCTGTATCCGCACCTGATAAGATTATACACGAACTGTCTGGAAATTCCTTGGATAGCCTCGGATCTGATTGTACTAGCTCAAATCTCAATGAATTCCGTTGGAACTAGGGACCTTTTTGGACAGTCTCGGATCTCCCATTACTTCAGAAGATCCCCTCTTGTATAATTGATGTGAGTTAAGGTTGTGTCGTTCACAGTCCGTCCCGGTCCGATTGAAAGGGCCCTGTGGTGGATCCGATCGGACGAAATCCGACCTCTCAGTCCAATCAGGTCCGATGTAACTAAAGCACAAAACCGTGCCACCGCATACCATTACTTATCAATTACCGGTATTATGAAACACGAGAGTTGGTATTTAAAACCCTTTCATAATCAGCAACAACACTCTAAATAAGAAATGAGGCACCAGCAACAATCGAGATTATAGAATGGTGGTTATAATCGCTATTCTACCATAGATTGGACAATAATGCATACCGATTCAAATTGGATCTGTTTGTCTCCTAATCCCCATAGTCTGTAGTGAGGATCAAAGTGCATACTTCATATATTGGATACGAATCAATTTTAACAGTTCTGTCATTAAATTCGTATTTTTAATGTTCTTTTTCAAAACTGCGAGTGTTTGCAGATAATTGTGGTGTAAGACGATTTCAAGACATCTTACTTCTCACATAACTTTTAAGGCCAGGCACAAGCCTCATAAAGGTAGATATTTTTACCGGTTGGTATTGTTGATACAATGCTCTGTCTACTTTGGTAGTCAAATTATTCGAAAACTATGCGATGCAAACTTGGCTTTGCTCCTTCCCATCTATAAGGATTCGTTGGTCTGGACCCAGCCTGTCAGTCGAGTCATCAAAATGAAATGAGCGAAATTGCTGGAACGGGTCCGACAATGCAACGAATCCATCGGAACTGAATCCTTTAATAGACCCAGAGAGCCCAAAACTAATGTTAATGCACGAGCAACGTATCGAATTAATCTACTTGACTCAATTATTATTATATTTGTGGCACTGGCCACCCAAGACTCTTAAACTCAACAGCCCTCTGCAAGTTGCCGTATAGAAATGTCTACAGCCCTTCTTGTCGTACATTTGCCTCTTCCTTTACGGCAGGACCTTTTCTCCCTTTCGTTCATCCAACAACATAAGATAAAGGACGTTGTTAAATATTAAAGAGCAAACTTCGTCATTTTCATTTCCAAGTAATCAGGTTTTTTAGGCCGTGTCTACAGACAGAGTCCTGGAAATAGTAGCAGTAGCAGGAAACAAAGAAAAAGGATTAAAGAAGTTTTTGACAAGAAAAAAGCTCCTGAAAACTTTCAGATGCTGGGAACTTAACAAATCCCACGACGACGACACGTTTTTTTGTCAAGAAAGGATAAAAGTTGTTCCTTCCGTTTGCAGAAGCTCGAAGTGAGGAAGAATTGTTGCAATTACCATTACTCCATCGAAACTGCTTGCTAGTGTACGAGGCAGATGAAAGATTTTGATGAAGTTTATAAGCATTAATAGATAACGAACAACAAGAATAACCTACACCTATAATAAATTTTTAGAGAACTAATTCTCAACTATTCTGTGGGGACGTTTTACATACCTAGGGTGAGAAGTAATTCATTATTGATCGAGCACTTGATATCCTGAGGCTCGCAGTTGCTTTGGCGGACCCGGTTATTTTCTACTAACATTAAAAACTGTTTTCCAATAGGTATTAACCGAATGGTAGCAGTATCCAGAAAGAACAGCTGGGTCATTCTAATTTTCAGCGAAGAGTTTGTTTCAGGTGAAAAAATCATAATTTATCAAATACATAGCATAGCAATACATAGCAGTAATTAGGCAATATAAAAAGTATCACTCTATTTCTTGAAATAGTATAAATATTATAATAACTTTTAGTCTAATCATATTAGTAAATTTTCCCGAAATAATTGTAAAGTCCGGTTTTATTGGGGCAAGTTATTCAAGGGGGTATTTAAATCATGAACGCATAAAATGGGTACACCAATTTTTGTGATAAAACTTTTTAGTTGATAACAAAGAATGAGAAAACGTGTTTTTTGGGATTCAATCGAAAGTATTGACAGGAACGATAAAACTTTTCACATAAGATTTTTATGTATTTATGAGACCTACAAAATGAGACCACACATAAAAAGAGCCGACTAATAGCAAAAATGTTATGGCCGAAAAACGAGGCAAAATGCAAGTTTTGGCACTTGTTGGTTTCTCGCAGATATTTGAAATTCTTCAAATTCGTAGGATTAGTACTTCTTAATAACCATAACAAAATTGGAGTAGATTAGTCAAGTCGTTTTTGAAAATGTCTAATTGTTTATCCCAAAGCATGACTATTTGTTAAAATCTAAACTAAGCTAAATATAACGGGAAATTACACCCTGTCTTGTGGGATTAGCCTCATTGAGTAATAACTTACTTTTTATGCTGAATATCTCATTTATAGGAATGCTTTTTAACAACTTTCCGGCTGACAATGAAAACGTTCTTATCCATTTTGAAAATGCTGCGCGATATTTCGGTAATACTTGCTGTAAAAGTTGCCATCGTTTTCTTTGGCAAAACTAGGTTTTGTTTTAGATCTAGTAACACTATCAAACAGTTTACCAAGATGGTTGAGGTGGAATTGGCTGAAATGAACGTGCTTGCTTTCCGTCCCAGTAAACATGACCAACCGCAGACAGCGCTGCGTCGTGCTCATTAGTTTTCAGCATTATGTATACATATATACATACTATACCGCACTGATGAGTTGCTATTGATGACGAATCAGTGCTATCTGCCGCATATATGCATATAAAGCCATTTCTGCCTTGCTCTATGAATATGTAGTAAAAAAAAGTTTTGGCACAAAATATTTATTGGATTTTTTTTATGAAGAAATTTAATCAAACACTAGTTATCATAAATTACAACTGAATACTTGACTAAACTATACTATCGAATTATGTGGAGTGGCCCATTCTGCTCTACCAGGCGCGACTTTAACTCCACGGTAAAGCCCAAAAATCCTCTTTTGGACGTGTCTGCGGCAAGTTTGAAATTACGCACCAGACAAGGATTTTATCTGCAAAGTTCGCTTTTTGTTTGTATCCAACATTGTCAGGACATTCATCTGCGTTGTCCGAATAAAATCCGTAGTTTCCTTCATTTCAGAATTAGACAAAGTGAATCACTTATCGTCATCTAAAATAATGATTTTTCCATTGGCAGAGTGTACCCACCTCAGTTGACGACAAGTATCTTGGTTTGCGAAGTAGTTGCGCTTGAGTCTCTTTCGATATT